TCAGGCCTTACCTGCCATGATAATATGAACCCAGTGTTCTCTAAATTTTCATATCCTTACACCTCAAACTAATGCTCCAAAAACAGTTCTCAGGGCTGTCACAAAGCCCTGAGGCGAAGGGAACACACCAGGCAAATGGCTTTCCTCCCATTTTACAGATGAGAGAATGGAAGCAAACTCTTAGGCACATGGGTCTTGGTTATTGGAGGAAGGGATTCCAAAATGCTGCAGAGGCCCTTTTCTGCCTGGATTTCCCTTCTACTGCGTTTTTGCCAAAGCAAGGGGGCATGAGCTGAGCACATGAGAGAAACCCTCCATGAAGGTGACTTGTTCAGAGCTGAACATGCAGCCGCTGAGCCTGTGGGCCTCAGGGTACAGCTCTTGGATAGCCCTGCAGAAGCCCACAGAAATCTCAGTCATTGTACAGTTCGAGAGGGTGAGTCACGTTTGACACTTTCAACATGGTAGTGTCCTTCCTAAGAATCATTCAATTCCTCTGGATCACCCTTAGCCTTTCTATTCCTTTCCCAGTGCACCTTCTGGTCTGAACATACCATGAAAATCCTCAAGGATGGGGAAATGGAGTGATGCTGATGCACCAAATTGTCAAAATGTGTTTCCTGATTATTGAATTGTGGTGGCATTTTTCTCTGGTGTTGGCCCTTCTAAAAGGCCTTGATCAAAATAGGCAGGATGTGGTTTCAAAACATAGCACTTTCAGAACAAAAAGAATGCAATTCCAACAGCCTTGTCTCTCTGAACTCCATGGGCTATATGTTACTCCTAATAGAACAGCTGACATTTTTTTTTGAAATTTTATTGGTTACCATTTAGGTAAGAGTGAAATTGCTGACTTTGACTGTTTGAGACCTTTTTACATACGCAGGCAGCAGATAAAAAGTATGAAGATGAAGATGAATTTAAGGGCACTTCTGTTTTTAAGTACAACACTCTGTCTGCCTCTCCTTGTCGTGAGCTGGGCTACACGAAGGCCGGAGCTGGAACCACAGACTTTAAGTGCCGTTCCATCACTTACTTCCTCTGGGATCTTAGTTAAGGGGCTTAATCTCCGTGGAATTGAGGTTCTTAACCTCTAAAATGGGACAATAACTATCACCTTGGGTTCATTATAACATTTAGAGTGTAAGTAGCACAGGACTTAAATGTGATAGGTTAGAAAAAATTCACTCAACACCTAAGTATCAACTATATACTCTGGGTTGCCTGTTACGCACTGCCCAACTCTGGGGCCACAGGTCACATCATAATTACTTGATATTTGTAAATTTACTAGGACAGGTTTCCT